ATTATGGCTGCAGATGTAGTCAAGGAAGATGAATGCAAGAGATTTGTCAATGAAACCATAAGCATTTTCGGTCGCGGTATGTGTAATACTATCCCAATTCTTAATATAAAAACTAGTTGATTAATTTGAATAAAATACGAAAGTTTGTTAGGTTAGTTATTTGTAATAAATAAGTATTATCTTTCGTAGCAGACCCTTGCTAAACATATGTATTAGCTAGAACTAACTACTATTCAATGAAACATTTAATATGTGCAACTAATACAAAAAACTCCTTTGACAAAAAAAAAGATAAATATGAGAGATAAAGTAAATTAGGGTCTTGTATTTAAGACTAAATTAAATGTCAAATTAGTTTTTATATTGAAAATCAGAGATGTACAGTTAATGTGCACAAATACTTATAGCGCAGTAAATTTGTTTTTTTGGCTCTCAAAGTTGAGGGAATATTCTTAAGTATATAAAGTTTAAGGGCCATGGTATTTGGATTATTCTTGCCTTAAATAGAGACAGAACTTGATAACTTTGAAAACTATTCAGCATTAACAGTAGTAATAATCAAGACTAGAATATAATCTTGTTATAGCGAACCATCTTGTTTGTGCTTTATTATTGCAGTGGATCATCTGGTGAATACAGTAAGTCTGGGACATACATTTTACTTTGAAGAAGCTGCAGACACATCGGTTTTCCCGCTTCTTCTGGTAGGAATTTCAATTTGCACTAGTTTGCAGAATTTGTTTCCCCTTAAATTTTAAAAAAAAAATCATGGGATATACTAAATCTCATAATTTATGCAATGATATATAATGCATTCTAATAAACATGTTCATTATTAATTATCAGGACATTAATTTCTGGGGTAATGTTTACCCAACATTTGTGGCTCTCCCTTACCTTCATCAGAGCCATGGCCGTGTTATTATCAACGCATCGGTAGAAAACTGGTTGCCTCTGCCAAGGATGAGCTTGTATGCTGTAAGTAATTATCAGTTAACTCACATAGTTAACATTCTTTCTTTTCTTAATACATTAAGAATTAGTTCCAAAAGTTGACCTTTGGCTGTATCAAAGGAAACTTGAATTGGCTCGATGGCTTGATCTATATACATATACACACACGCATATATATAGTTGGGTCTTATTCTCCAGAGTTTTATAGATAACAACAACAAAACTTCATTCCACTAAGTAGGGTTGGCTAAATGAATCACACGACTCTATTAAGCTCTATCTAAAGCCAAATCTTTGAATATATTATTAATTAAAAGATCTCACTAAATAACTCCATTAAGTGGTTTCTTTAGCCTTTTTCTACTCTTTTTTAGAGGACTCTATAGCGTTTGATCAACTCTTCTTACCGGCACATCCAAAGGCCTTATCTGTACATGATCAAATCATTTCAAATGATTTTCTACTATTTTCTCATCAATAGCAATCACTTAAGTTTTCTGCATGTATGTTCATTACGAATCTTATCTTTTTTTATATGATCACATATCTATTTCAACATTCTCATCTTAAAGTTTTACAAACCTTAACAAGACATCTACATGAACAAGTCAAAATCACCAACCTCAATTGAATACACACAAAAAAGAGAGTAATTAGTCCAAAATAGGAACAATGGTAAAATTGCTGGAAACATTTGTGAAAACATGGTTCCAGTCGTGCTAGAGTCACTATCATTAAGAGTTATCCTGCCAATTTATAGACAGAGAGAATTTTACACATTAGCTTGTAATTTTGCTGAAGTGATAACTGATAAGAGTCAAATTAAACACTAGTTTAGAGTTTGTCTATAGGCTTGTTTTCTATTGAGTGAAAGAGACTTTACCTGGATTCTGATTGTGTACATGGTAGGCTGCAAAGGCTGCATTAGTGAACTTCTATGAGACACTAAGATTTGAACTGAAAAATGAGGTTGGAGTTACCATAGCAACACATGGTTGGATTGGAAGTGAAATGACCAGTGGCAAGTTCATGATGGAGGACGGCGCCGACATGCAGTGGAAGGAAGAAAGAGAAGTGAGTTCCTTAATTTCATGTTTGCTCTTTGTTTTTATACATTGGTACATAATTTTTAGGTATCCTAAGACTTGGACTCATTCATGAACAAGTCATGCATCATATTATTGTTGCTAATTAATTGTTGTAGGTGCATGTGAGTTGTGGATCTGTTCAGGAGTTCGCGAGATTGATCGTATCGGGGGCATGTCGAGGCGACACGTATGTGAAGTATCCGAGTTGGTACGATGTTTTTGCACTATTCCGAGTGTTCACTCCGAACATTCTCGGTTGGGTCTTCCACTTACTGATTTCACCCGAAGGTGCCAGGAGAAGTTCCTCTCTTTTAGGCACTGGAAGACCTGTAGCTTATTCTGTAGGCAGTCTCTCTGACTAAAATCTTAGACCAAAATCTCTCGCACATCCTCTATTTAGTGCATATATGGTTTGGACCTTCCTTGTCAGATTTTGATGGTTTGGATTTTCAAATCAGAAAAAGAAAATTAATAATAAACCATCCTATATCTGAGTTAGAGGATTCAGATCAGATTTGTATTTTGCAAGGGATTTACCTTAAACTTTTAGGAACCAAAACCTCTTGGCTATGGATCAAGTCTATATTTATACTTCTATTGAACTTGTTTCCATAAGTCTTTCAGTGATGAGAAGCATTCTGAATAATTAGTGGAGCTGTACCAACTTTGTCAGTAATTTGTATGCAAATGGAAGATAAACTTGTGTGATTGTGTTGAACGTTATCATTTATGCTTTTACTTGACATACGTCTATGTAAGTAGAAAACGTGGTGATTTTATAATTAGAAAACACACTTATGCCAAGAATGGAGCAGTATAATCACTAAACAGTCTCCGATTTTGCTTTGATGTTACTTGTTGAATTAAGTATAACCACTAGACTAAAAACTATAGCTCTTGGCCAAACCTCTTCTAGCAGAAGAACCATTTCATTATAAAATGCCAGTAATAAAGCATTTAATATGGGGTATAGGTGTAATTTTAATCCTGTTTTTGTTTCTCATGTGCAATTTTACTCATGATTGTTTTAGAGGTGCAATTTTACCCCATCTTTTTTTGGGTGCAATTTTAACCTTGAGGGGCTATTGCACTTAAGAAAATAGATTAAGGTTAGAATTTGCACATGATAAATAAAATCAAAGTTAAAATTGCACAATTACCATATGTAGTTAGCAATTAAATTATAAATTATTTTTTTAATATAAAATTCATAGGACGATTGAGGCCTTCATCGAATTTTTTTTTTTTTTTTATACAAGCCTTGGTTGAAAACTTTATTAAAACTTTAAGGTGATTTACTAAAGCTAACATGATTCATGGATCCATCAGTATCCAATTTCACCCTTCTCGGTATCAATAGACTGAAAATTTGTGAACATTTCGATTTGAAACTCTTATGAAGGTGAAACTACATTATATTCGCCAGAATAAAAGAAAATCTTCATACTTGTGTAATTGTTTATTTATTCAAAGAAAATAAAGTGACAAAAATAAATGTGATGATTTGTTTCAGTGTTTTGATTATCCAACCAGCCAATTTGGTCAATACCAGTCAAATCGATCACATTATTTTTCTTAATTAAATTTTAATTCATATTTTTAAAATGCAATTTATATATGCGTGTGTATAAAATCAGCATCAGTAAAAAAAATGCAAGAAATATTTATAAGATATGTATATGCATATATTCAAACGTTATAAATTTCTCTTCGATTCCTTGTGTAAATTGTGAAAGTTAAAATGAAGTTTTCACTCAGGAGTATTGAATACCTAAAAGTTTTTTAAGGTAAAAATTTAATCCTAAAAATTTTAAATTACAATAATGTTGCCCCTTACCGTAAAAGTAATTAATGGTTAACATTACTATTTTAATGATGGGATAATATTGCTACGATATTAAACATTCGACGTAAATTTGTATCTAAAAAAACTTATAGGTGCTCAGCGCTCTTGAATAAAAAATTTTGGAGCAAATTTGCACTTTAACAAATAAGTGTTTATTTTGGATGAAAATTATGAAATATTGATGCATATTACTTTCGTTCATTATATATTATTCTGTTTGGGATGCAAACATTTGTTTTTATTATATACTACTTCCGGTCCTTAATATAAAATATTATTTAACTTTTATTTTGGTCTAAATATAAGATTCTAATTCATTTTGTCTCTCATATTATTTATTTTTTCAAGATAATTCTTTTAATAATGTTAATTCTAGTCAATAATAGTAAGGATATTTGAGGGGGGAAAATACTTATTCATTACAAATAACTAATTTAACTTATTTTTTTAATCTACTCAAATTAGTCAACTAGTTCTTATATTTAGAACCTGAGCTAATATATGGTTATTTATTTTTAGGTAAAGAAATGGCATCAAAAATGATGAAATTGGCGAATATCATATTTAAGGACCATTAAGATATTAAGAAATTAATATATTATGATTATTTTTTGAGAACCAAAATAATGATTTAAAAAAATAATCATCAGGCTGTAGAAAAATTAAAATAGTCTCCATTTCAATCGCTCAATTTCATTAAAATAATATCCATATTTTGAACTTGTTGGGGTTTAATATTCAATTTAGTACGTTCAGCTCAAAAATAAAAAATCAATTTAGTGTGTTTTATTAATCTTGTGATTCTGGCTGGAAATCGGATTCCTTTTTTTGGATTCTTTTCGCCCAAAGTCCCTTTTTGGGCCATGCCCAAAATCCTGAAAATAAAAATGAAGGAGGTTGTCCTAAAAGGAAAAAAAAAGCCCACAGAAAAAAAAGTAAAAAAAAAAAAGAAGGAAGAACAAGAAGCTGAAGAAAAGCAACCGTGAAGCTCGGAACTTTGGATAGTGAAGAAGAATAATGCTGCAAGCCACCGAAACGGAGGAATTGAAATACCTAAATTGCAACCCACACAAATCGGAGCAATCCCACTTTTACTGAACAGCTATCGGTTGCGCTAAGTTGGTGCAAGATTTGCTGCAACACCGAACTTCGTGATTCTCACTTCAAGGACTGAGTGCTGGGAGGAAGTTTTTCAAATGTTTGTTCTATAAGGTTAGTGCTTGTACTATTCAATATTGAAAATCTGAAACTATTCCTCTAATTTTGAGCTGAAGTCCAATATACGCAGTTCTGTGTGTCTCTCTGTCTAAATGGACTGAGCTGAATCACAAGGCATCGCTTCAATTGTTATTATTGTTGTTTTTTTACTCTCATTTCGATGTCCGGTAACCGTATCCTAAACGCTGCATGAGCCATTAAAGCTTGTTCATTAGTTGGAATCTTTCCATAAGCAAAAGGCTGATGAAATGACCCGCTTAATGGACTCAGTAGCTTGGAAAGATTTACAACACTAATAGGCATTGAAAAAAGACAACTCATGTGTTTAATATCCATGTAAATATTAATGTGTATGATCTATTCAAGTCCATCTTGTCTATAATCCATATTAACTAAAATGGAAGAGTTCACTTAAAAGATTGCAGTGTGAACAGTAGAAAAATTTCAGCTGCGCAGGAGAAAAAATTGGAACTTGGCTGAACAATGTAAAAACTAAAACAAACTAGAAAGAACTGATGTCTTGGGGTGACCATTTTGTACCACCACATCACAGCGCAGTTGTCCTTTCAGCCAAAGGGGGCTTGCTTTTATTTTTGTTTGGTAACTTTTTAGGTACTGGAAATTCCTTGGTAATCCGATTGAATTATTGCTCCACTAGTAACTTTGATGACTAGAAATCCTAACACATGAATCATATCAAGCAGAGGCGAAGAGAAGTGGATGATTATGTGCTGGTCAATGGAAAAACAATTTGCAAATGCCTGTTGAGTTTCTTTTTTATAAAAAAAAATAATTGCAGAATTTCAAGGTTACTTCCACCAAATTTTTTAAGATGTAGAATTTCATCCATTTTGAGCATTATGCTAACACCCATGCTTGTAATTCAAACTTGTAGTTTTTGCTGGGATTTCATGGAAACAAATATTCCCAATTTGGCACATCTTCTTCAGCTGTGTATTAGCAAGAAAGCTCTCCTAGCTGGTAAGGTTCTTCATGCACAGATCTTCCGATTATCCCTTTCTTCTGTCACCTTTCTCTCCAACAACCTAATCGAATTGTATTCCAAGTGTAATGATGTTAGTGTTGCCTATCGAGTGTTTTGTAATACACCTCGAAGAAACATATATTCCTGGAATGCCATCTTGGGTGCTTATTGTAGACAGAACAATTTGCGGGATGCTTATAGATTGTTTCTACAAATGCCCGAAAGGAACACTGTGTCATGGAACACTATTATTAGTACAATGGTAAGGACTGGATTTGAAGAGCAGGCGCTGGATGTTTTTGACTCAATGATGTTGGAAGGAATTAAACCCTCCCACATTACATTTGCCAGCATATTTAGTGGATGTGGTTCTTTAGCAGATGCTGAGTTTGGCAGGAAAAGCCATGGTCTTGTGGTCAAGGTTCGTCTTGACAGAAATATGTATGTTGTCAATGCTCTTTTGTTCATGTATACTAAGTGTGGGCTTGCCAGGGACGCGATCCGTATTTTTAGGGACATACCTGATCCTAATGAGGTTTCTTTTACTACAATGATGGGTGGATTAGCTCAGACAAGTCACGTGAGAGAAGCTTTCGAAATGTGCAGGCTAATGTTGAGGAAAGGTGTTCATATTGATTCTGTCTCATTGTCAACCATCTTGGGTGCCTGTTCAAAGGGAGGATTTGAGGAAATTGGTCTCCATGGTCAAAAGTATGGCTTCTCACGAATTTTTCAGGGCAAAGAAATACATGTGCTGTCAATTAAACTAGGTTTTGAAGGAGACCTCCATTTGAGCAATTCACTGCTTGATATGTATGCAAAAAGTGGAGACATGAATAGTGCTGAAAGTATCTTTGCTAATTTGCCTCAACCGAGCATTGTTTCTTGGAATATAATGATCGCTGGATACGGAAATGTGTACAATAGTGAGAAAGCTCTAGAATATCTGCAAAGAATGGAGTCATATGGATTTGAACCAGATAATGTTACTTATATTAATATGCTAACAGCATGCATCAAGTCTGGGGATATTAGTACTGGGCGTTATATATTTGACAGCATGCCATGCCCAAGTTTGACTTCATGGAATGCTATGCTCTCAGGCTACACCCAAAATGCATGTCAGAAAGAGGCAGTTGAATTGTTTCAAAAAATGCAGTTCCAATGTGTACGTCCTGATCGGACTACTCTGTCCATTATTCTTGCTTCATGTGCTGAAGTAGGACTTCTTATTGAGGGAAAACAAGTTCATGCATGCTCACTTAAGTTTGGATCATATAATGATCTGTATGTTGCCAGTGGCCTTATCAATGTTTATTCAAAGTGTGGGGAAATGGAGTTGGCAAAGCATGTATTCAGCAAACTGCCTGAACTAGATGTTGTTTGCTGGAACTCAATGATAGTGGGGTGCTCAATCAATTCTCTTGACCAAGAAGCTTTCTCTTTCTTTAAGCAGATGAGAGAATTTGGCATCACTCCTTCGAAGTTTTCTTATACCAACATATTGAATTCATGTGCAAAACTTTCTTCATTACTGCAAGGACAGCAGATTCATGCACAAATCACAAAAGCTGGCCATGTTGATGACATATTTGTGGGGAGTTCTCTTATTGAAATGTATTGTAAATGTGGAGTTGTGGATAGAGCCAGGTGTTTTTTCAATATGATGCAATTTAAAAACATTGTTACTTGGAATGCAATGATCCATGGTTATGCCCATAATGGATGTGGTATTGAGGCTGTTTGCCTCTACAAAGACATGATCCAATCAGGTGAAGAGCCTGATGATATTACTTTTGTAGCTGTATTAACAGCATGTAGCCACTCTGCTTTGGTTGATGAAGGTATTGAAATTTTCAATTCAATGCAGCAAAAATATGGTATTATGCCAATGGTGGATCACTATACTTGCATTATAGATTGTTTGGGTCGTGCTGGGCGGTTCAATGAAGCAGAAGTAATTCTAGATAGTATGCCAGGCAAAAATGACCCTCTCATTTGGGAGGTTGTACTGAGCTCATGTCGTATTCATGCTAACCTAAAATTAGCAAAAAGAGCAGCAGAGGAACTCTTTCGACTGAATCCTCAAAATTCTTCCCCTTATGTGCTTCTTGCCAACATGTATTCTTCTATGGGAAGATGGGATGATGCAACACGTATTAGAGATATGATGAGCGACAAACAGGTGCATAAGGATCCTGGTTATAGCTGGAGTGAGTTCAAGAATAAGATGGAGGACAGTAATCGTGATGGGTTGGTGTGCACTGTCATCTAGGGGATGAGATCTCTTTATCATGCTAAATGAAATCAAGGCCCCTCTGCAGAGACTTTAGTGACTATTGCGAGGGGAAACTAGATCCTCGAAGTTGGTAATGGTTGGTTTGATATGGTGAATTCCCCCCAGGGTTCCTCAATAAAGTTGAGTGGGATTGCAGCTTACTGCTTATTTATTAAACTTGAGTTAGTTCACCTGCCATGGGGTCTATATGACGGGGCTTTTATCCCTTGAAATTTGAGATGAAGCACTTCCCTCTCAAGATCTGAAAAGTACTACCATGCTCATTTGGGAATGCACTATCCAGACATTGCAGCATGGAGACTATTTGCTTTCAGAATGTGTTGCCCTGGGGAGAACTGATAATTGGTGATGGCTTCCTGGAACTCTGCAGACGTCCTTGTCTCCAATCATTAATACCAATTTAGAGCTTTTCCTTCCCAACACTATAGCCGTGGAGACTTTCACTCCCCTAGAAACTCCTTAAAAGTTTTCTCATCTTCCTTCAACACCCAATATCTCCTTCATTACTGAGAATTTGTTTTCCAATCCAGACTATCAATTCTGCGCCCGCGTTCTGGTAATTATTGGCACCCGTTTAGTCATGTTCAAACTACAAACTGATGGAAAACCTTCCTAAGATGCCAACCAATGAAAGAACAATATCAGAAATGTAGAGATCTACCTCAGAATTCGGTAGCAATCCAGCGCACAGACCCAGTCCTAGATGAAAGAATAATAAAACCGAAAGATATGCCTCTAGGATTCAAGGCTGAGCCTTGTTGGTACTTTCCAGGCCCTCGCCAGCCCCCTCCTCTCCTCTCTCTTCCTTTCATTCTTTACCAGATCCTCCCAACAGTCACACCCCTGAAAACTCTTTTAAACAGCCATGTGTATTATTATATTATTTCGCCAGTCACGCATATGTGACCCTTGCACCATCTGTTCTTCTGTATCCTCTCCTTATGTATCTGAGCAATCGGTAGTCTATAAGCTTGATGACTCAACTATTTTTCCTTTGTTTCCTTCTATTGACATAGATGGGCTTGTTGTCCTCTGCTTATCTACTCTCTATTCTCAATAAATATATTTCTGAAATTGAATCTGACAAGTCAGCAGTTAAGGTTGGGTTGATGGCACGGATTTGTGAAATGAGTGCAAGCTTGGGTTTATGTTGCCTGAGACAGCAGAAGTGATAGGCATATTGTTCTCCAAACTTCTGGGGACCGTCCCTGGTGCCACTTCCAAGAATTTTCTCTCCTTTTCTTTTCGATTTGTTCCTTTCACATTGGCTTGTTAAATGCACAGGGTTCATTTTATTGCTTTTCCGCATGGCATTTGCTCATATTGTTGTACTTTTGAGGCCATTTCGCTTTGTTATAATGTAAGAGTGTAATAATCTTGACCCATGTTGAGATGGAACATCTGTAAGTTGCTGAAGGCACGAAATATATCTTGTAGAGTGCTTTCTGGTGTTTGCCTGAGCTTCACTTTAAGCTTGCTATAGTATTGCTGAGGCTTAACCATGCAGCCTAGTGTTTTCACCTATCAGAAAATCAGTATATTTCTTTCTCTGCATGATGCTAAAAGTTATCAGTATGAAATGCGGATAGCGTCAGGAAACACACAGTCACAAATTCATAATGGGGGGTTAAGATGTAAATTTATTTCTGAAATATTCCTCCATGTCCATATGATCCTCCCTTCATTTCCATTTAAGTTTCAAATTTGGAAAGCAACGTAGTCTATTTTATAATTTTCAATTTGGATTCATCTTGATATTTAACTCTTTTTTTTTCAATTTTACTCTCAATTATTTATTTTCTCTCATTTGTCATACTCTCTCTCATCACATTTTCCCAATGCATTCTCTTTTATCTTTTTTTTCCCTCATTTATTATAAGGGCATATTTGAAAACAAAAATATATTTCTACTATATTTATTGTTTTTAACTAATATTAACTAATTATTTATTATCTGTAAATTAGTTATTTAAAACTATAAAAAAAGATCAGCTAAATTATAACAAAGTTTTTTGTGTAAAAATACACATGAAATTTTTAAAATGATAAAAAAAAAATGTTATCCCCATTAAGTCAATTATCCTTGACCATTTAACTAATATGTTAGTCAAGAAAATGATATGAAAGTACATTTAAAGTTTTTAAAATGATTTAAAAATATCACGGTTAAGTCAAGGAACTTGGTGTCTAACAAACAGTATTGTTAACAATGCATTGTGTTTAAGCCGTTAGAGGACTAACAACGGTGAGCACAAGAGCCTTATTCAAAGTTTTACGTAGTTTATTAAGAATTCTATTGGGGAACAGCTCTACAACATTACTGGACATGAAATATCATAAGAGGTCAAACATTTTATCTTTGGATAACTCTAGAATGTATGATGGGACAACCAAATACCAATTATCATACAAGACAAGTCTAATTACAATTCTCTTCATTGTTTTAACCAATTCAGAGCTTGTCACCTCTTGATGTGGAGCTCTGGGGCCATGCAGCCAGAGTACTGATGAAAAAGAGAGAAGATAACATCCATCCAATGCATATGGTAATGGTGGGGGCCACCAACCACTCAAAATCTGATGCACTTGGAAATGATGGGATTTGAAAAGCATGTGTGGGCTTATATACTTGACTAATTGTTAACAGAGTGGATAATTTGACTTGATCATATATTAAAAAATGCATATGTTATAAGACATGTTTAGAAATACATTTATCAAAGTTAAGAGTTCGGAAACAAGCTAACCAGCCTAATTTGGCTTGTTTGTGTAATTGTGTCTGCTTATTTTTAAGTGTTTATAAATATTTTCATATAAATTAAGATAAAACTTATCCTACATATACATCTCGTGTTTCGTAAATTATAATTAAAAAAACTGTTTTGAAGGCTGAGTCTTGTAAGCCCGAGTGTCTTACTTTTCAGAAATTTTTTATCACATTACTAATTTACAATATTAATAAACTTATAAGGTTGGAATAGTAATTCTTTAAATAATAAATGAAAATAATATAGCATGGCACAAATGTCGGTAAATAATACTATTTTTGAACCTAAATATATTATTATTACAATGTAATTCGTTTTCTTAAATTCCTAAACAATAATTCACTTTTCATACAAAAATTTAAACTGCTAAAAAATTACTTATTTTTATAAATTTAAATGAACGTGCTCTGTATTATAAAATAGTGAAACATATAGTCTCATACAAACTAAATAATTTAAATAACAACGTCTGATCTGATTCTAAATGTGTGAGTAGTGGTGTTCAAAATAGGTCTGTCTCGGCCAGCTCGTACTAGTCCCAATCATATTGGGACGGGATAGGATAAATCGGGATGAGACAAAAGAAATTGGGATCGAGACGGAACAGGACATGAGACAGGGTCATCACGTCCAGCCACAAAGCAAAATATTTCATGAGTAGATTTCCTGTCTCGTCCCTCTTCCCATCCTATGATGATCTTATGTATGAGTGATTTTGCTAATTCATATCTAAAATTTTAATATATGTTTTTCATTTTTATTCCCACTCACTTACATATCTTTCTCAGCTTTTCTCTTTTCACTCATTTTCTCTCTCGTACATTTTCTTTATAAATAACCGTATGTTTGAAGGAAACAATACTACCTCTGATTTTTTTTTATAAAATCCAATTAATCGAATTGTGTGATTTGAAAAATCTGTTAATATTGATTAAAAGTAACAAATTAAAAAACATACTTTATTTTTTTCAAATATACTCTTAGGCTTTACTCATATTTATAAGAAGGCAAGCGAGAGAGAATACTGAGAAAAAAGATGGAAAAAAATGGGATGAGGACAAATATATTGTAATTAATTAAAAATAAAATTGGTGAATATTCATTTAATTTTCAGACAGTTTTAAATTAGGTCTTATAAAAAAGATCATAAATATTATGATTTTATATATTTATTATCTTTAGTTAATTTTAAATTATTTTTATAATCCACGTAATTGATTATTTGCAATTTATGAAAAAAAAAAAAAAGGAGGAGTACTATCATTCAAAAAAAGAGATTTAGAATTAGAGAGGAAGTACTATTTTAAAAGCTAAATTAGTCAAACTGATTTTCCGCAAACGAAAAAATATCAATCAGATTAGATGGTTGTAATTAAAATTAGAATTCAATTTTGACAACTCTTTTTAGCATTGACTTTGCAGATCATGCTGTGAAGAGTGTAGACATCGGAATGAACAGGCATAGCCTCTTCAGAAGTCAGAATCCAAAAGGCACGTGAGGAATTGAAAATGGCTCCGTCTAAACTTTCATAGCCACTAGATTTTTGCCCCTGCCGTGGTATAGGGAGAAGCCCAGCTAAATCCACATTGGATAGTTTGTTTGATTCCAGATATAAAACTTTAATTAGTCTTACTTTAAAGTTTGTATTTTTGACTTTTTATCCGAGTCATCCATATTAATTACATGGATAATAGGAATGATGGAGGTAATGATTAAAAAAAATTAAAACATATTTATTATAAATAACTAATATACAACTTCTTATTTTTAATATAAAAGTTAATTAAACATTTAATTTGATCCAAATATAAAACCTTATTCATTTTGTCTCAAATATTTATCTATATTGCTCTCACTTCTCAAGTAGTGCCTATGATAATTACATATACTGAAGGAGTTATTATCATTACATAACTCAAATGCAAATAATTATTAAGAGGATTTTAGAAAATATAACATATATTTATTAAAAATAGCTAATTTAACTAATTTTTTAATATTTACAAATTAATTATTTATGGCTTATATTAAGGGAGAATCCCACAAAAGAATCTTAAAATTACTAAATCTCAAATAAGAAATTCCTATAAAAATATGTTGTCATTTGTGAATTCAATATTGTCAAAGCCCATTCAAATATTGTTAGGAAGCTTGATTTCGGGTTTAATAATTTTAAGCTTCTTTTTGTTGGATTCTCCCTTATATTATGGAGTAAAGGTAGTATTAATTAATTATCTCAACATCTGTAAATTAGTTAGTTTCTGCTACCTTCTATTTTTATATAAGTAGATTGATTTAATTGAAGAGATTAAAAGAAGTTACTAAAGTACTCTAAAGTATTTATATTTATCGTTTTTCTTCAAATTAATTTGTCTCATTTATACATTAATATATAATCTAATAATACTCATAAGTATTTTAGATAGGAGTGTTTAATTATATCTCATCCCAGTGTCTCATCCCTATCCTAGTTATTTTGGGACAGGAAAGTTTTCGGCACAGGACAAAATTATTTCCGGACAGGCCTAGTTCCCGTCCCAATATATTTTCTTGTTTTCAATTGTTATAAATTTATTTTATTTATCATTATATAGTATTTTGATAATAATATTTATTAATTATTATTTTTTTTATTTGTTTATAAATTGTTTTGTATGTGTTACGTGATATTCTCTAAGACAAATCCACTTTTCCGATGACAGCCACATCAGTAATGGCCGACCCAAGTGGGTCGTCTTGACGTAACCCTTTTCCTTTTGTCTTTACTTTAATCGTCCGCGCGCG